TTGCACTCTGTGTGGAGATATAAATGATTCCATTACCTAAGGTGTACAGGCTTCCATTATAACTAGGGGGAAAATGTGTAAAATACATGGAGATATTCTCCGTCCTTTGCTACGAAGAGCCTAGCAACCTTGGGCAGGAGGTGGGCGAGGAGGATAAAAAAGGCGGCAGACCATCAGCAGACTATGAATGGTAGTGGACGGAGATGTGTCCTTTCCACTTTATCTCATTTTTCTTTTGCTTACTAAAAGTTGACATGTATTCACAATAAATGTCTGGCAGAAGCATGGCCTGTATATATGGGAAATGAACCTCCTCTGAGGTAGGAACTGGAGCCTAAAGCTAGCCTAGGAGTGGGGGGCCAGGGATGAGATCAGAACCTTCTGTAAGATAAGAATTAGTTCTGAGGTATTCCACTCCCAGGTTACCAGTTCCACTAGCCATCTAGGACAGTGACATGAAGTTTATCTGCCAGAGCATACATCACATCTCTCCTCAAAAAGGAACCCAAAATTAAATGCTCACTCATCTAACTATGAATCTTAAAAACTGATTAAGTTTCAAAGTCCAGAGAAAAGCATCATACGTACTATTCGACCTTCAGTTGCCTCTCCCAGCAGTCCTCCAAATGTGATGACAGGAGACATACACGCGCAGTAGAGAAACAGAAAAGATGCTAAGCACTGCAGGCTAAAAGCATCTCTGAAGTCACTCCAGAAGTATGGAGCTTTTCTTTTGATATCTAAAATAAGTCCCCCAAAAATCCTAAAACAGGGGGAAAAACACAATAGTGAAATACAAATACAAAAAAGACACAAATCAAAATGCTCATTTGCTTTGTTGCCAGGTCACAGTATACGTTTTCTATCCACAGAGATGAGACCCATATAAACCTACTACATTGTACTACCATGATCTCTAGGAACGGCTTTGCACCACCAGGTTATCTCAGTTCCAACCAAATACTATGTCAAAAATCAAAAAAATCCTAGGTTCTCTCAAACAAGGTCCACAGCTGTTCATCAATCAAAATTCAAATAATGCGATTTAAAGATTACTCTAATCTCTGTGCCATTTTTACTACAACCTACTCCTAAAATCAGGCCTCCTACCCTCAACCACTGGCAATATTTTCTAATTGTTTATAGTTCATTTAGCATAGCAGAAAGTGAAGGAGAGAGGGTAAACGGGCTTTTCTATACTTCAATAGTGAATGTCAGCCCAAAGAGAAAAAAGTGGTGTTTAACTATGGCTCCAGTTACCTATTCTCTGGGGGAAAAAAAAAATCACCAAATACTGTTCCAGGCAGGTACCTAAATGGCCTACAGACAATAGTAATACTTACAGAGACATTTAAGTTCCACAGTTGCTTTCATTTTTAGAAAACTAAGGGGGAGACCTTATAATAACCAGTCTACATAAATGTAATTTTGATCCATTACTGTCTAAACATATCTGAACATCTATCATTCACAAGACAATAATGACCTTGCTTGGTATAAATCATACATTCTAAATGCATCCAAAAACCACACTGAAACATGTGAAGGGTGGTATTTTGGGGGGGGAAGGGAGGAGAGAAGAATTAAACCATAAAATGTTGCTTAAAATCTGAGGACTAGAATTTTTTAATCTATTAAGAATGAGAGCATTAATAAACAGGTAGTTTTATTCTCTGAACATTTAATAATATGCAGACTTAACATTTGACTACTAAGAGCTCTTTGTGCTCCACGTAACAAAGATGTCATATTAAAATGAGTAAGACTGTGATTAAGTTCCTACGTGGAGGTTAAAAAAAACCTATTATGTTCTAGCATACTGCCAGCATACTAAATATATTTGCATTATGGAAAAATACGGAAGTTTTGTTACTTATTTTCTAAACAGGAATATAATCTGGCAATCTAAGAATCATCTCCAAAATGATTATTCTCTTGAGAAACAAATTCTGGTTTGCCTTGAAAAATGTACATCTTCAGAATAACTGAAAATTTTGAGTATTATTTTTATTACCCTAAGCTGAATGACATAGACACGACAGTAACTTATTAGTTACTAGCTTACTATTATGTGAATGATACAATCATCATGTTTTTCTAGTGACTGTTTCCATCAGAGGGATATGGAGTAGGAAAGGTTGAGACGGATGAAATTTCAACTGAAAAAAAAGGACATCTAAAATTCAGAGAAGCATGCATGGAACCTGTGTGTGAACACACACACACACAAAGATCATCTTAGGTTCCCCGACCTGTGTTTGGTAAAAATATGCACAGTTTTTATTTGGGGGATCATTTCCAAATGATTTGTTAGCTTGCCAAGTTCACAATTTAGAACATTGTTAATCTACTAGTCTATTTATTCATTCTTTATGTTTTGTATCCCACCTAACCCTCCGAAGAATTTGAGGTGGTTATTAACTATTACTTAGTAGTTAATATTTATAGATTTGATAGCACTTTCTATTAGACAACTGTTTTCTAATTAATTACTTATTAGGGTATACAGTAGTCTAAATAGCTGTTATATTACTGTGTAATAAACGTGCGTTTAGCAGGAAAAAGCTAAATCCAGAAGTGGGAGGTCACTGCAGAGAACAGTGCAAGAGCAGCCCAGATGTGCACCAGCAGCCCCAGGAGAGCAGATGAACAATGGATACTTCAAGTCAAGTCAGCAACAGAATCTGTGGAAGAACTCTGGAGAAGCGGAGACACCGGATATTGGTGACCTGGGAGGATTTAGGAGGCAGTAAGGAAAAACGAACTTTGAAAAAAAAAATCTAAGCTATACAGCATGTTATACCTGAGAGAGAGGGGAAAAAAAACACCAAAAATAAAAAGACAGCATTTGAAAACATGAAAGTAAACAGGAGTGACAAGGCTTCCAGTAAAGGGAAGAGGAAAAAATTGTTTTTGAACCACTTCAATTTGGTATAGAGCCTGAGGAAGACATAAAAGGACATTTCCTCAGAGACAAAACGTAGATAAAGGGAAAGAACAGAGGAGAATTAAAATGCACAGAGATGTCAGGAACTGGAAAGTCAGCCTACAGGACACAGGGAAAGCAGTGCAGGAAGTGGCACTTGAGGGGAGGGGAGCACCAATCCTGCAACGTCTTTGCAATTGCCTTCAATTATAATGGAGGTTATGTGCACTTATTCCCTGAAGAGAGACCCACCCAAGGGTTTCTGATTTTCTGCTCACACATTGCTTGGAGAGAGACAAGCTGTCAAAAAACCATAAAGAATAATTTTAAGAAATAAATTGAAGCTTTCATCTCTTCAAAGATGTGTGAGTAGAAAAATAAATCATATAGCTCTTTCAAATTATTACCTTAAAAATAAAAAATACTATTATATACATCCTACTTGCATGTAATGAAATAGGCTCTATAAGACTGAGTTCTTGGTATTTATTTTTATTTCCATCTTGAACTTAAAGCTTTCAACAGGCTCTTTTGGAAGGGACAAGTGACAGTTTTCTTATTTATTCTAAGGATCTGTGAATGCATTTTATGCATAGCAATACGAAAGACTAGGTAAGATAAAATGGAATGGTATATTCACTGCTCTGGTTTGACAGTAATGACAATCCTTAGTAGCTACAGAGAAAGCAAATTAATTGGCATTTTCACCCCCAAAGAGTAGGTATTCAAGAATAAAAACAAATTAGGTCTCGAAACAGCAATTCCCAACACACAAGAATGGTACATTACTTGGTCTCTCAAGTCCCAGACAAGTGCTTTTACTAACCTTCCAGTTCGCTGGAGTTCAGGTCCACTATGTCCTCCGTGGGGCTCAGCTTCCCCGTGCGCTGCTGTTCCATTTGGTACAGCAGGAATCTTCCTCTTCTCCTGCGGGAAGTTTTTTTGGTTTTGTTTTTGTTTTTTAATTTCAGGTGCTAGTTGTAAATAACAAAAAAAAATTTTTCCCTTGAGGCAATATGCAGAGTGGCTAGGAACCCAGGCTCTCTTACTTATTTGCTGTATGACTTCTAGAAAGTTACCTAGCTTCCTAAAGCTTCAGTTCCCTCCTCCTAGTTCCAGCTAGAATTTTAGCTATAATACAGTTCAAGCTATAATTCTAGTTCAGTGGACAAATCAGGTCTATGGAGCTCACATGCTATTGGGGAAAATAAGAAACGAACATGTAAGTAAATTAATTCTACAGTGTGTTAGAGAGATTAAAAACTGTGGGAAAGTAAAAATCTAGAGCAAACTAAGGGGGTGGGAGGTGTGGGGAGGAGAGAATGGCAGTTACAAACAGAGTGGTCAGGCAGGCTCAGAAACAAAGTGCCACTGGGGAAAACCTTGAGGGAGTCAAGAGAATCAGCCACGAGAATAACTGGAGGACAACCAGGCAAAGGAAACAGCCAGGGGGACAGTCTTAGGGCAGAAGTGTGACTGCAAGATTTGAAGAACAAGGAACAGGCGGCCAAGGAGAGAAGTGAGCACAGGAGAAAGTGGCAAGAGATGACTGAGAGAGAGGTACAGAGAGGCCAGATTGTGTGGATTTTGTGGCCCATTGTAAGTGTTTGGCTTTTATTCTCAGTGAAATGAGGAATTTTTGCAGGGTTTTAAGGAAAGGAGTAACATGATCTAACACTCTGGCTGCTGTGTTGAGAACAGATTCTCGAGGCCAAGAGTAGAAACAAGGAGACCAGTCAGGAGGCTATTTCAGTCACCCAGGAGAAAAATCACAGCAGCTTGAACCAGGGTGGTGGCAGTGGCAATAGTGAGTATAATTCTGGATAAATATTAAAGGCAATGCCAAGAGTATTTCCTGGCAGGACAGAAGTCAGGTATAAGAGATAAGAATAAATGTCTGGCTTTATCCATTGTAAGGATGGAGTTAGCACCTATCAAGACAAGAAGGTACAAATGGAATGGATTTTGGGAAAAGATCAGTTTCTTATATACTTCAGGAAGCACTATATTGTCTTTTCTAACATAAATGCAAAGATATATTCAGGTACAGAAATGAGACAATCTACAATTCCATTCCAACTCTGGCATGTTGAATTTTAGATATCTGTAAGACATCCAGGTAGAGACACAGGACAAGCATTTGCGTATCTTGTGACTCTCAAGTTCAAGGTGAAAATAAATTTGGAAGAGGATTTAAAGCTATAAGATTGGATGATATTACCAAGAGAAGGAGTATAGAGGAGAGAAGCCAACTAAGGACTGAGCCCTACATCGCTGCAACATAAAGAAATCAGAGAGAAAAAGAGGAACCAGCAAATGAAACGGAAGTGACCACTGAGGTACAAGGAAAACAAAGAGTGTGGGTTTTTGGAAGCCAAGCAAAGAAAGTATATCAAGGAAAAGGGAGTCATCAACTCTTTCAAATGTTGCCGAATGATAGGCTAAATAAAATAGAGACTGGGAATTGACCATGGGGTTTAGCATTGTGGGGATCTTTGGTGACCTTCATATAAGTAGATTTTAGTGAAGTGCTAAGAGTAAATGCCTTATTGGAGGAGGTCTGAGAATTGAAGGATACAAAAGAACAAATTCTTGCCATTTTAACAACATGGATGGATCTAGAGGGTATTATGCTAAGTGAAATAAGTCAGACAGAGAAAGACAAATACTGTACGATCTCACTCATGTGTGTATTCTAAAAAACAAAGCAAAGGAAGAAACAAAACAAAAGCAGACTTATAGATACAGAGAACAAACAGGTGGTTGCCAAAAAGGGAGCCATGAGGGGATGGTTGAAATAGGTAAAGGGAATTAAGAGGTACGAACTTCTAGTTAGAAAATAAGTAAGTTATGGGGATGTATTATAAGCATAAGAGCACAACAGCATAATTCATAATAGTGTAAGACTATCATCAGAAACACTGTATTAACTTTGCATGGGGACATGCACTTAAATGTCAAATCGCCATGCTGTATACCTGAAACTAACATAATATTGTACTTTAACTGTATTTCAACTAGAAAAGCAGAGAATTGAAGGAGAGGAATTGGAGGCAGACAGTAGCGAGAACTCTCCTGTTGCACTGGGTTACAGAGGGGAACAAAGCAATGGGTGGGCAGTGATACAGTACTGAGAGTTCTTTTTTTCAGATTTGCAAATTAACAATGTTGTTTGCTAACAAAAATTACATAATACAGAAGAAAAGAACTGATGATACAGGGGAGAAAGAGGAGAACTGATGGAGTAATACCTTTGAGTAGAAGTAAGGAAAGGGATGTGGGGCACGGGTAGAAGGCTGACTTTGCATAATTCAAAGTCAGGAGAAGGCAGAGTATGTAAGTGCAGATGCTGGCAGGTGGGTAAATACGGTTTGAGGAGTCTATGGAAGTTCTCTTTTGATCATTTAAATTTTCTCAGGGAAGTGGAAACAAGTCAACATAACGAAAGTGAGAGTCAGGAAGGATGTGTTTGAAACTTTGAAAAGAAAAAACAGGTGTGAAACAGTCACACAGAATGACTGAACTAAGAAAGTACAGTATAATGAACTTGTAACGTCTAAGAGCACTTGAGATATGTGGTCATGAATTACGTGAGCTCAGTAAATGCAGTTGTATGTTTTCCTTTAGTCACACTCATCTGCATCAGTGCAGGTACAGGCTAAAGAGTTGGATTCAGTGTTGTGGTTTTGACAAGCAAGTAAGTAGCAAGACAGAAAAGCAAAGAAGCTGAGAGTATGCACAAGGGAGTGACTATAATGACTGATACAAGTTCTAATGAGCATTTTCAGGGGTTTTCCTTGAGATAACTGGTTATTCTTTTCTTAACTGAAAGGAAAAAACATTAAAAAATACTGTGATTTACACATTGCAAAACAATAAAAATCATAGAAATTATCCCACGGGGGAAAATATTATTGGAATGAGTATGAAGTCAGAGTGCTTAATGTATTTTAATTCATTTCGCTCCACTTAAGGAAAGAAAACAAAGTTCCATAGTATCTATTATTAAACTGCAATATACATTAAAAATACTAATGTTCTAAAGAGAGTGTTTCTAATTCAAACTCATTATATAAAACTGTGCTGTCTAATATGATAGCTATTAACTACTTGTGGCTATTGAAATTTAAGTTAATTAAAATTAAAAATTCAGTTCCTTAGTCACAGTAGTCACATTTCTGCTGTTCAACAGTGGCTTGGCTTATTGGATGGCATAGATATAGAACACTTCAATCACTGCAGAAAGTTCTAGTTGGACACGCTGACAATCAGCACAGAGAGGTTAGGGCATCTGCTCAGGGTCATACAAATAGATAATAGCAGAATCCAGGTGCCTTGTTTCTTAATGCAACATTCTTTCTACTACCACCTCTCAATACCCAGATTCTAAGAATTAATCCTGATTTTAAAGAGTTTCATACAAATAATTTTAAAAATACAGAGCTCCCATGCCTCCAGTTGCCTCAAAAACATTCTCTCTCGAAAACAAGGTGTTTTCAGAAATTCTTGTCTTTAGTTTTAATATTTGAAAAACAAACTGGTGTCAAGTGATTTTTAAAGTCTCATGCTCAACGTATTAATATTTTCACTGAATTTTCCCAAATAACATCAATTACAGAGATTCTTACTAATTCAAGAAGCATTGTACTGTCTTTTCTAATTCGGTAAGTGCAAAGATGTATACAAGTACAAAAATAAGACAATCTATAGCCCCATAAAATTACTCCTTAAATAACTTACTATGTTTTAGCAGTGGATCAACTGAAATTATGTGGTGATGGTTACAGAATCACAAAATTGTAATTTTTGACAAAAGAAAGCAAACAATCTTTAATAATTATGAAGTAACTTCAGAATGAAAATACAGGAATGGAACATCCTTAAATTGGTAATGGGGTTGAGATGACTTTTTTAAACACTCATGACTGAGTAGTACACCTGCTCATTTGCACACCTCTGGCTAACTAGCAAAACTTCTATGTCTAAGGCTGGGTCAATTAGGCCATTGCAACTAAGGCAGTAGAGTCAGCTACTAAGGCAGCTGGACTCTGCAAGGACGAGAGCTGAAGGCGAGGCTGGGTAGATAACAACCGGGAGGGTTGCAGGAGACAGATACAGTAGGAATACAAGTGGCAATACGAGAAGTGGGCTTAACGAACATTTGGCTACCACTCTCAATAAAGTCATTCCTGCAATAAGACAATGACCCCAAACAATAGCAATAGTCTTTAGTCTTAGCTTTCTGCATTATATAATGAGTAAAATGCACATTAGATTTTTAGAGGGATAATTTTTACAATGTTCATACCATATCCCTACATGAAAGCAACACATACACAAGAAATATTAAAAAAAAATTCTTCCAGTCATAAATGTGATCAGCAGTAATAGGGAGTTTTCTATGTAATATGAATAAACCATACCCTTGAATTTTCCTAATACTTGCCAATTTCAAAGGGCTGGATCAGTAATGGACTTTCTCTCAAGTCATATTTATTAAAATTTAAATTTTCCTCCAGTGTATTTTTCAAGGTGAGTCTAAAATCTTTCCAGGCATATGAGACTGTTTGATTCACTAGCATATCATCAATACACCAAATTTGTGTTGAATGGGAAAAAGGAAGACTTTGCAACTTCATGCCCCTGACTTCTTGGAGGTTGAATTGGTTCTAGTGGCAATTCCAAAGTGGAAGGAAGTGGGGGAGTTCCCCATACCAACAAGCAATGCTCTGGACACCAGCAAGGTGTCCTACAATTTAACTTAATTCTGACACTATCTACCCTGAGATAGCATCGGGTTCCCCAAGCTGAAGGCTGGGTCCTGCAAGATTGCCTGCCACTCCACTTTAGATGCCAGTCACAAGCTCAGGTTGTTACTAGTGTTTCTGACCAACTGGCTATAAATCAGAGGTTCTCATAAACTCCTTCTCAGAGTCAATTAATTTTCTAGAATGCTTCACAGCACTCAGAGAAATGTTTTGCTTACTAGATCACCAGTTTATTATAAAAGGATATAACTCAGGAACAGCCAGATGGAAGAGACGCATAGGGCAAGGCATGGGAAAAGGGCAAGCAGCTTCCATACTCTCTCCAGGCACACCGCTCTTCCCAACCTCCATGTGTTCACCAGCCCGGAAGCTCTCTGAACCCTGTCTTTTTGGGATTTTATGGAGACTTCATTACACAGGCATGACTGATTAAACCACCCGCTATTGCTGACTGAATTGAAACTCCTGCCCCTCTCCCCTGGGGAGAGGGTGGGACTCAAAGTTCCAACCTCTAATCACATGGTTGGTTCAACTGGCAATCAGCCCCCATCCTTAGAGGAATTCTAAAAGTAACTTCATTAACATAACAAAAGACACCTTTATTGCTTTTACCACTTAGAAAACTCCAAGCATTTCAGGAGCTCTGTGCCAGAAATAGGGATGACGACCAGATATATATTTCTTATTATAAATCACAATACCACAGAGGTTATAATTTAAATCATTTGAATCTTTTTGATTGGTTATATTATTTCAATACATGTATTTAAAAAAATAACAAAATGATGAGATTTTTAAGAGTATTTTCATATACACATACCTGGGAAGGAACATTTTTTGGAGGCTCTATTCGAATGCTTGGATCCCATTCTCCAGGAGGGAGAACAGTAACCTGATCCAGAAATTCATCAATTCCTGATACCAAGTCATTACGATCTTTAGCTTTGTAAGCAACATCATGAAATACCTATAGAAGGAAAATAAATATCATTTACAGATAGAAAATAATTAAAAAGCCTTAATGTGTTCTGTGCTTTCACTTCCGAGTTATCTCACATGTGATTATAACACTTTGAAGAAATAAAGTTCTAACTAAAGAAGTTTTTCATGTAAAATACTGTAATTTAGTTTATTCCGTGAATGTACCTAGTTAAATATTTCTCTTAGAATGCTACAATGAATGTAAAAATTTCTGGAGGCAAGAGTAAGAGAAGGGAAAGGAGGATGAAAGGAAATTCATTATCCTGGAATTAATGATTTAAATGTGGCAAAGTTTGTTTATGCATGTAAAATCAAACTTTCCAAAAGAACTCCTTGCTTAAAAATAGATAAAAATTTATAGAATATATTAGAAATTTTAGTAATATTTATACCATGACATACATAAACTAATTTAAAAGGTTAGTTCTGTTTCAATTTTTAAATAGTAATAAAGTTATGTTACTATTTTCTTGAATTACATCTATAAGCGTATATTTCCAAAGAATGAGTTACATTTGCACGTGCATGCACACACACACACACACATACGTTACTTTCAAACAGAAATTATGAGTGTATGATTTATCACATTGCCTTTTGTCTGCCATAGTGACTGAGAAAACATGGGTCAAGATTAAGCTTCTATGAACCTGGATGCCCAAGTGATTAAATGAGTACAGGACCTCTGCCAGCTTGTGATGGACACACAAATGATAGAAATAAATCCTTTTTGTTTTAAGCCATTAGTTGATTATTACTGCAGCATAAACTAATCTCTCATGGGAATGATATATTTAATATGTTAAGTGAGGAAAGTAAAAGTAAAGGTAAATGGGAAACATTAATTTATGCTAAATATGATATAAATATTTCTGATCCTTTTTGTATTTCACATGCTATAAAGTGGAATGGACAAATATTTGAGGTTTGGAACTACTATATTATTCTTTATGTTGATCTATAGTGTAGTGACCAAATATCCCAAAATATTCCAGGGAAACTTCACTTTCAAATATTCTATTCTACTTTTAGACTATTTGTTTTAGTTTCTAGATTTCTAGGTGTTCAATCTAAACTGCTGAAAAAGTGATAATGATCATTTTCAAAGGCTTTTTCTTTACTTTCCAACTAAGAACATTTCACAAAAAATCACTGGTATGATAAGCATATATAGTCTTTGTTTAGGATAATATGAAGATATAAAAGATACATTAATAATTTAATTGTACTTTGAGAAAGATTTTTCAGAATATTGAAAACATAGATTTCCATGTTGCAAGTCACTGGCTCAGAATATCTCTATTCTTCTAAATATCTTTACATGGCATGAGACCTAATCTGAATATTTAAGGATTGTAAATGTCCACAACTAGAAACATGAAAACTATGAAAGAAAACAGTTCATCAGTAAAGAAAATATAAGTGAAGATAGTAAATCAACCATGTACAAAGCTTATAGGAAGGCTGAAAAACAAAAGTAGTAAAATCATCTACATTCACAATAAGCAGTTTAAAAACACATGAAACAAATAGATATAAAAATCGATGTCAAAATCAGCAATTGTGAGGGGTGGAGAGTAAAATGCAGAGTTGTTAAAATGTGTTTGAAATTAAGAGATCAGCAAGTTAAAACAATCTCATATATATATAAAATCATACATATATGCATACATACATCATGGTAACAAAAACCCAAAAACCTATAATAGCTAAAAAGAAAAAGGAATCCAAATATAACACTAAAGACAGCCATCAAATCCCAAGGGAAGAGAAAAAAAAGAACAAAACAACAAAAAGCAAACCCCAAAACAATTAACAAAATAGCAATAAGTAAATACACATCAATAATTAAGAAGCCACCAGCAGCTAGAGAAACAAGGACGGATTCACCCCTAGAGCCTTCAGAGAGAATGTGGCCCTGCTGACACTTTGACTTCAGGCTTCTGTCCCCCCAAAATATGAGTTCCAAACCTCAAGATTGTTTTAATCATCTAGTTTGTGGTAATTTTTTATGGCAGTCATAAGAAACTAATATACTCATTAAGTTGGTTCTTTCTGAAACAGATGAGAAAATTTTTTCCCTAGCTTTTGGTTTCTTATGTGTAACCATCAATAATAACTAATTCATATAAAACCGTAAAACATAACTTGAACAGATATAATAGAAGAATTTATATTGAACCCCTAACATAAGTTCAAATTTTCAGATTTCATAACCTAGAAAAAATTACATATAACACTAATTTACTCTTCATATAGATTTTTCAAGTATTACAAGTCATGTATTTCAATAAATACACCATTAACTTATTCAGATGAGATTCTAGAAAATGTATAATCCCATTTGTCATTTACTAGTGAATTTTGAATTTATGCCCTTTCTGTGATCTTCTGTGTCTTCTCTTAACAATAAAAATGATTAAATAATAAAAATAGATTTTCATAAGGTGTTGGAGAATACAAGAAAGCAGTTTATATGATACTAGTTTTTATGTTATTCTTATAATCTTACATTTTTGAGACATACATCTCTTTGAGAAGCTGATAACTTTTTCCAGTCCAAAAAAAAAATCTACATACAAAGTTTTACATAGAAAAATTAGTTTATCTAAGAAATCATAGGCTTCTTGAAATCCATCTACAGTACTCTAATGATTCAAAGACTCCCAGGTTAAGAACACGCACATTGAGGCAATTGTAAAGAGATCTCACAGATGTTGCATGGCTTTTGGTGTCATGTATACTATTCAGATAAGCTGCCATTGTTCTTTCTTGAGACTTTAAAATTAATGTGCCCAAAACAAGAATGTAATGATATTAACAGTGGTGCTCATTTTGCAAGGATACTATAAGAGGACTATTAATAAATATATCCTAAATGTCACCAAATAACAAATTTTCTTTAGAGTACAAGGTTTTAAAACATTATGTCCAGGTGTGTGAATTTATTACCCCTTGTAAACAAATTTTTCCAAAGGAGATTTTACAGTAGAGGCATTTAAAAGAAAGGGGATTCAATATAGAGAAATCTGATTCACAGCAAATTGTCATGAATACAGAACTCCAAGTTAGGTGTACCTAGCTGGGGGGAAATGTTCCCAATGAACTTGAATAAATACCTCATCTGTCATTAGGGTTGCAATTGATCTGCCAATCTCATGGTATTGTTGACCCTTTCCCAGGGGTCCCAGAAGAATGAACAAAAATCTGTAAGTAAGAAGAAAAAAACAGTATTTCAAGGTAGAAATATAAAAATAATTTCATTAGTACAGAATCACTCATCTCAAAGGAATTACTGAAGATGGGGATTTCAGTGTAAAGTACTTCTGTATTTTCTACAGGTTATTACATATTTTGAAATGTTTTATAATGTCTCAAAATGACTCATGTTTAAGATCCTTGAGCAACTGGAATCCATGATTATTTTGATCTGTTCCCCCCATTTAGTTACCTATAGAGCCTACACAGTTGTTAGTGAAAATTTTAAGTATTCTATAATCCTTAGAGGAGAAATTTGAGAAAAGTAAAATCTGATCTAATCTTTCTTAATTCTAAGGAAGAGAATTCACTAATATGCAAATTACAGAACTAGGTAGAAGGGGAAAAAGATAATACAGTAGTATTATAAACAAAGAAAGAATACATGGTCCAAAAAAACAGTAGGTGTATATAAAATTTACATTAAGTAGGAAACAATATTGCCAGAAATCAAATATCAGGTAGAAAGAAAAAAAAATCTGTTAATTCCAATGCTAGAGGAGTAAAAATACCAGCTGTACTATGACAGTCCATCTAAATTAGGCTGAAAGTCTAGCAAACTCATCGTTACACCTGCAGCTTTTGAAGAAATCAATATGCGTTCTAACTTTGGGGACTGGTAATTGTTCTCTCTCTGAAAAAGTCAATGCTGCAGGGAAATTGTGAGAATTTTAAAATGCCCTATATCCTGCAATATAATTCTGCAGTATTTATTTATCAAATGGTTTCTGTTCTTAAGTGGGAAGACTAATGGCTTTATAAGGTGTACTGAAATAGGTACTACAATTCTACCTTTCATTAGTTATAAACTTTAGAGATTTTCCTGTTTTTATGTGATGCACGTATTATACAATCTTAGACAGTCTGACATTAATTTTTTGTGACAGTTGTAACTGAATCTAAGTCAATATCTAGTACACAGAAATGTCCACCATATATTTGAAACAGTAATAGTTTAATGTGGTGGCATATGCTTTACCAACTATACTTTTAAGAAATTTCCCAACCTATGTATATCTTGCTATTTTTCAGGTTTTCATTTCATAGGCTATTTATAAAGTCCCCCCAAATTATTTTCTGACATTTTTACTATGTGTTACTATTATACTCACAATGTGCCCTTTTGTCCTCCTAAGAGAGGATAATTAGGAGCCTTGAATGGCTTTCTTTATTCCATTTGTCTAACTAATCTTCTTCTATTTTTCACCTTTTTCACCTTTCCTAACCAAATAGTCTAGTCTTTTAAATCTCTCCTTATACAGTGGCTCTACATGCCCCTAATTTTCTCTCCATTGTTCTCTAGATACATTTTGCTATGTCAGTATGAAATGAGGTCACCTAAACCTTGACAGTTTTCAAAGGGAGGGTATATAACTCCATACGGCTTTTCCTTACTCCTGGGAATTTTTCTTTTCTTTCCTTTGAAATACAAGAACTATCACTGTCATAGACAGCCATCACTTACCCAGAGCTCATCAGACACCTTCCTAAGTAGTGGAACAAGAATGTACTGCTTGGAAGACTGCAAAGGAATTTTAAACTACTAAAATAATACCTCTACATTTAGTAAGTTTGACATCTTAAATCTGAATCCCAAATTTCCAGAAATTCTGAATGCAGATTACAGGTTGTATGTAGAAAAATACGGCCTTAATCATACGATCAGATGCCTCTTTAATGTGCTCAGTTAATCCTTCCCCCCTTTTAATAGAAGTTGGAATGTATCAGAAGTCTTGGTGGCCCTCCACCAATAATGAACAGACACTTCTCTGTACAACCTGAATTGGTAACTAGCTTCCTGCCTCGAATCTATTCTGTCACAGATTCAGGTACAGGTACTCAAACATTAAATCCCATTCCAGTTATAAATGAGGCCTCTCCTGATAACTAGTCCATATTTTTGGAGTATCTTATCCAAAATCAAAATACAGAGTGATGTAATTTGCTATGTTTTGAGTTACACCCAAATATCCACAGAAGACACATATCCTGCAAACCCAGTTGCCACAGCACCCTGAACTGTTCATCATTTTAACCTGGCTAAGGCATTCAGTGTTTGGAAGGAGAGGCCTACTAGCAGCATTTGAAACAATTCCAGCATGAAGCAAAGGGCACCATTCAAGCAGGACGTGGGACCCTATATAGAAATGTTTTGCTATGAGACCAGGATCAGAGTGAAAGACTGTCTAGACACAGGAATCACATTTGATGGCAGGAGAAGGGAAGAAACAAGGTCCTCTGGAGAAATGGCTAGGAACCCAACATGCTGAAGTCAGTGTTTTTTTTTCCTTCACAATTTGCTCATGGATCATCTTATCTCTTTAAAATAGAGATAAATAATAAACAACATAATTTAGTCTGTATTATCCCTAAATTGTTAGTTTTTATATACAGCTAAATGAAAAACAAGTTCAGGTAATGAAATTAAATTTGTACTTTTGATTCATATTTAACCATAGTACCATGATGCTACTAAAATGATTCTTCAGACTCTATGTATGGGAGGCACGCTGTGCACAGGATTGAAACACACAGTACAGTAGACACAGCAGGGACTCGCCTAATGATGGCACTCACGTGTACGTTGAAGGCCTACTCATTCCAGCATGAGCCAAGCCTTTAAAACTTCAATCTTTTTGAGTATGACCATACTCACATGTAGGACCTCTCCTTAGCCACAGTCTAACGCAATCTTTGAGGAAAGCTTAATACTTTATTTCTTTTTACCAAAAATATTAAAAAGGATTTATATGGTGACATAGACCATGGTATTCAGAGATAAGGAGCACACCTAAAAGAAAATTGGAAATTTGAGAGGAAGGAGGAAAGGACAGAGTAATTTGTAAAGCACATTTCCCCCCTCCTTCACAAACATGAAGAAATAGTAGTTTTGTGGATTGCACATTAGTTTCTAGAAAAACCTCTCAGAGGAAATTATATTAACATCTTTTTTTCCCACAAAAAGTGGTTTAAGAAAAAATGCAAAAGATGCTCTTATACTTCTTACCTGGTAGGGATTGGGACTTCAGCCAGCCCCTGAAGCAGCACAGCTGGAGACAATCTGACAAATGCAACTACGGTTCGATCCAAAAACTCCAATTCTCCAACTAAGATGTTTGAAGCTTCAGCACCTGGAGGAATCTTCTTCATAAAATGCAGATCGACCTGCAAGCATCACAAAGTAAAAGAAGATAAATCAAAACTGGAAAAATTTGCTAAATCATATTCTAGCTTCACACATGGTAATCCATCAATAAATAATAGTTTAAATAAAAATACTTTTATAAATATGGTTTAATAAATGTTTAAAATAGTTAAACATCTCATTTGCCCTTTAAAAATAATAACTTTTTCTTTTAGTTGTCCATTTTTCTAATTTGCCATCAATAAGCTAAATACTCAAGTTTCTCTATTCAATATTTTTAAAAGATATGATTCAGGCTTAGTAATCTTGAAATTTTCAGGGAGAAAAGAGTATGTTTTCTATTAAATGAATATACTTTGGTGATAATTTAAGTAGCGTTTGCCAATAGATCCAAGTATTTGTATATTAAATTAACTAAATTTTGTTCACAATACATTTCAATTCATTAATACTCAAAACATGTCCATTTCAAAAAATCTATATATAAATCGTTATTCTCTTTATGGTATAAATTATGACTTTAGTCTTCATTTTTATTTTAGCTGTTCCATATCCTTCACATTCTATAATTGGCTTTATTATTCTTCAATTTTAATTTCTCATCAGAGAAACTAGATATGGCAGAGTAAAAAAAAAAAAAAATAAAAATATAAACATTTGGAGTTGTTGAAGAGCCAGAGTTGAATTTCTGATATGAGATGTCTGTGATTGAAATGAATTCATACAAAACAAAAGTGTCATTAACAAAAAGAAATGCTTAGAATAAAGGGTGAAGTCTGAAAAACGAATGTAAAATACTCTTGAGAGTAAATATCAATTTTTATACACAGGGCCTCAGTGAAAACGAAGCAGTGATTTTAAAGTCAATTTTACAAGGCCTATTTCTTGTTTCTAATTCATTTGAGTTGCTTTTAATGGAAATCTGTTTGTAGGGAGAATAACAGTTTGACTGCTGTAGTAATTGTTTCTATGCTTTCATGTTAACGAAATGGAGACCAAAGATCAAAGTAGGAACAGGAGAAACAGAGGAAAAAGGAGGAAGTGGCTGAGAGGGGAGGAGAAGGAGGTGGAGGACAGGGAGAGGGAGAGGAATGTGGAGGAAGGAGGAGGAAAAATAAGAGGAGGAAGAAGAGAAGAGAGAGAGAAAGATAAACGAGCTCTGGCAAATATAGGTGAGGCCCAGAAGACTTTTTAGGCCAGATATTTCTTCTGCAAGTTTAATAATTTAAGAATATTTTTCCCAAGCAATTTAAAATGAAAAAAAAAAAACCAAACTTTTAGTTGGAATACCTTAGGAAGTCCATAGCCAGACTTTAGTGACTACATTAAATATGTTGCTTCCTAAAATCAAGACCTCAGCACAGCTATTTAGAAGGTTTTTTCAACTACTTAAGTTTTTTGTAAGATAAGGAATGTTTTTATGCTACAAAACATAAAACCCATTATAGGGAGTATATATTTTATCACAAGAATTAAATATAAAAATAAGCCTCAGCACTCCACTAAAAATATCAAACAGAGGAATGTTCCACTTTAAAGAGAAAGAAAAATGATTCAACAAAGCAAAACTGCCTGTAAAAAATTATGACAAATATTATAAATTTCAGAGGTTTTTAACCTATAAGCATGCTTCTAAACATAAATTTGTAAACTCCTAAAATACATACATTGGGATACTATATGGTAAATTATTTTCCTTTTATAGAATCTAATCTTTTAATTTATAGGTACAAAAATATTTATTTATTTTAATAATAGAAGGTTAAATTCCATGGGAATTATTATTGTATTTTTGTATTTATGTTTCTAGCTAAGAGAAATGTACACACTGAAGAATGCTTTAAATTAGTAATGCATTATAATTTCACTTTAGTGTATAAATTCTCAAGAAGAGAATAAAAGAATACCCATACACTATTAGCCATGTGAGAAAAACATAATAATTTTCCGTAAGTCTTTCAAAGACTAAAAGAGTAAACTGTTAAGTTTTTCCCCCAATAGAAATAGCAATTATACAATATTAATACACTGGAACAAAATTTAAAATGAGAAAAATAGCTTTTTAAGAAAATCTGTAAGTGATAAACAATCTGAGTTGTATTGGCAATACTTGTCATAACGTTACTGTGAAGTTTAAATTCCACCTGGAAAAGTTTTTACAAAATCATTTATTTCTTGACAAGTGCCATAACCTTAAACATTGAAGTCTATGTCTCTGGTAGATGGCAATTATACACATGACTGCTTTAAGATTCAATTTAATTAAATCAAGGAGTAGGTATGCTAAAATGGCTTAATTTTATAAAAGAAAATATGTGGTCCTTACATATGATTTTTTACATTATATAGTATCTAATATATCATTGGTTGATATCTGTTATTTAGAAAATGCATTAAAATATACAGAATTTAATTTCAAGATTAGCAAGTTTATTTTGATTTAAAATGTAATACACTCTAGCTAAATAACAGATAAGTAGTCATTATATTTTATGCATTATATTATGTTACTGTTGGAGTAGCCATATATTTGGGGGTAATAGATTATATATTACCTAATTATATGACACAATTATATATTACATTATTCCTGGGACAGTCCTATATTTTTGTATTTGTGTTAATGTATGATTCATAAAGAACTTTATTTGGCAACCTAACTACCTTTCAACATAACAAAAGATCGCATTTAAGGACCATAATTTAACCTCTTATAAAACTGCAAATACCAAAAACAGCTCTGAGAAACTAGGCTGAACAGCATCCCTGAGACAGTCCTCAAGCGGACTTAAATACTTGAAGTAAACATAAAGAAATCTTGGAATGTCTTGGTTCTCTTAAAAGAATCTTGAAGAAATCAAGCTTTCCTCCTATGGATCTGCATTTATATTCATACTTCTAGGGTCTCCAAATGTTTATGCTAAGGAGAAAAGATGCTTTATTCTGGGAATCTGGTACTTAAGTTGTGGGTGACAAACATTTATATTTCTAGGGAATATGGTTAGTCAGAAGGTCATGGTGGAACTAGAAGTGTCTGGACAAGCTATACACTGATATGTGAAGGAAGGACAGATGGGAGATTATGGAGAAAGTCTGTCTTAAGCCCACTATAGGAAGTACAAGAAAATTAATAGAAATTCTCCAGAGAGAAATGGTGTTATAACACTGGCCAGCCAGTGATCTTGAGCAGCTCTCTTAATCTGGGATTCAGCTTTCTCACCTTCTAAATGAAATTTCTAAAGTTTACTACAATTCTAAGATTTAATAATGCAACTCTTTATATTTCACATATTAAAGATGGATACAGAAGAGAGTTCTCTCTACACAGAAAATACTGTGAAAGCTTCTTTGAGTCATTTGAAATAAAAGGAACCACCAACATTTGGAAAATACTAAAATAGCTGCCTTCTACATGTCAGTTTAAGAACTATGAAACATCTGCTTTTTAAAAGCTTTACAGGAATCAAAAACCTGACAATTCAGATTATATTTGAAAACACTCCTAAAAAGGAATGAGTTTGATGGGCCTAACCACTGGAAGGGTTAAAAATATATAGACTGTATGCAGATAGTCAAGTCACTTGAAATGAATAAAGACTTTTTTCTTTAACACCTCAAAAGTCTACTGGGGTCTGGAATTTACATATTAAAACTTAAAATATTTAAATGAACAAAGTAATCTATAGACTAACTGATACACTCACTCTGATAAATTCACTACCAAACTGAAATCTTTAGACTACAATCCTTAACTCATGTACCTGCAAAATCTGGCACTAAATTTTGTTTCCATAATGATGCACTGCATTTGAGCTTTTCAAATCCTACTACTCTGCCCTTCCAGATTATAAAGTAAGAAGCATTATTTTGTATTTCAAAAAAAATCCAGAGCAAAATTATCTGGAACTTCACAGGATTCATTCAACACGTGCATCCCAAACACTCTTCAAGGCACTAGAGATCCAGTGGAGACCAAAACATTTTAAATTCTGGTCTAGTATTTATTTTTGACTCTGCTATTTCCATTGATATTAATAGTAACAGCAACAACAACAGTAATAGTAGCAGCAACCACATTTTATTGAACACCTACTGTAAGCCCAGCACTCTGCCACTTTCTCACTTAATCTTCTCAATAAATCATAAACAGGTATTACTCTTCTTATTTTACGAATGAGAAAGATGAAGTCCAGAGAACTTCTCCAAGATCAGATAACTTATAAATGCTAGAGGTAGGATCTTACGTACTTTCTCAAAAGCCATGCCATGGGCAAGAGACTGAGGAATATAGATTGGCGCTGAGTAGAGGGCTCTAGAAATTTAACTTTCCCGTTAAAAAATGGAACAGAACAGTGACTGGAAATGCAATAAGAAAGAAAAGAATTAAAGGAGAGAAAATCTATTTTTCACTCTTCTATAGTTCAAATTGTTCTGGGGACCTGAGGATAAGACTACCGTCTTCAATTGGTAATATTCATTTTCTCTAATGTGATAAAGCATTTTTGAATGCTGCAAAGATAGGTCAGACAATTAAAAGCAAAATGATATAGAGACATAAAATTCAGTGTCAAAGGGTTATATCCTTTTTTAAAAAGGTAAAGGTAATTTATTTGAAGGGATGTGATTTATTATCATTGTTTTTGAGAATGTTAACTGTGCCCTTGTTATACTGTTAATGCCTGCATAAATAAATAAGCAACTTCTTACGTCATTGCTTTTAAGATATTGCTTCAAATGAAAAACATTAGAAATTAAATGTACGGCAGTTTGAGACAATTTTACTCCAACTTGCAGATGAATGAAGATGCAATGCTTTAAAAAAAATTTTTTTTTTGGAGTGGCAAATGGAATACATTTGAACTGGCTTAATATTTGAATCACATGCCTCCATACAGTGAGATGAGCTTTGAACCACTGTAGAAACAGAGCCCGAGTATGCCCTCACCTCTCTCTCTTGCTGGTGTGGAGGTCCTTTTTCATGTCTTTGTTTCATCCCACATGGACTAGTATGCCCCTTTTGTTGGCCTCCCAGTCCCTGCACGCATAATTAACAGACTTAAGCCAGTACACCATGTTCCCACAGAGACTCCGCCAGGCACCAGAGGGAGAGCATGCACACGACTGGACCTAGACCATTCTGGCATTGGCGGAGGGATTCTGAAACAGCAACAAGGGGCTGATCGCTATGAATTTTTTCAGAAGCTTGATGCAGGCAACTTCCTACACTGCTGCCTCCCATTCCCACCCTGACCCGCTGTTACCGTCATTGCCAGTGCTAAGGACCTGATGGAAAAAAAAATTACTTTGAGTTATTACTGTTTTAGCCCCTCAGATAAAGAGAATTGTTGATTCTCTTTTCTTCTGGTCAATACTGAAACTCCTCTTTCCTATTTAAGTGTTGTTTTGCCACAGTATACAATAGCATATATAAAATGTCAGGAAGTTGCTAACCAAAATCACACTGTTTTCATAGACTCATTATTTTCCTAGAATACATTCAAGTAAATGATTTCATTTGAATTGTCTCCAGTTAGGTGTATCCCTCAACAGAGTCAGTCGCTATGTTTTTATTCAAAACTCTGCTCAATCCTACTAGGTTCTAGTGTTTTACACTAATGTCTTTCTCTGAATTAAGGTAATAAAGCTTGATAGTATATGATTTGCTTTTCCACAAATAGGGGGAAAATGATTTTGTAATAAAAATTAGCAAAAGTTGTAAGCAATAAACTTCTGTTAAATTCTCTGTGAAGTCCAGCTATCCTTTTTACTGGAAGAGATGCATCACACCAAGTGGCTGAAAACTGAAGACTAGCGTCAAACTTACACACTTGGCTTTGTGAATAAGCAAAATGGTACATGTGAGCTTAAATGTTAACATTGTCAATAACAATATCCAACTTTGACTAAGAAATGAAAATAACATGCATGCAAAAAAACTGTCAACACGTTTTAAAATTTCTGGTAATTTCTAGTAATAACTCAGTGGCTTACTTACATGAGAAGGAGAAAAGCTTACCTTGCTAAAGTCAACAGTGCTGTTCTCCCTGCTCACATCATTTTTATTTTCAACACAGGCTGGGGCAGACTGAGGAGAAACAACCTGACCTGCTAAAAGAGATTGTTATTACAGAATACAAACAATTACTTACATAATTCTAGACAGATTGACTGAAATATGAATTAAACTAAACTACCATTGGTTTCTTAATGTATTTATGATGTAAGCATGAAGGGTTAACATAGATATATATCAATACAAATATTCTTATTTATCAATTACAGATAGAAATGGGAGAATTCAGTCAAGAAAATGTAAACTCTCAGATGAAAACTTTGTAACTTAACAGTTATTCTCTATGAAGAAAGAACATTTGCAAAAAAGAGTTTAATAATGGTTTTGAAACATCAGTGATTTCTAAATTTTATCCAAAACTATATATATGTGTATGTGTGTGTGTGTATATATATATATATATAATCAGGATAGATATATATTAATGATTTAAGCTCAAATTGAAGTATTTGAAATGTAAAGTTTTTTAAAGGGCGAATATTTATTTGAAAAGTACACAGTGTATTTATAGCTTTTATTGCATCTGAAAAAACAAACCTTCTTTGACAATAACTTTTAGAGATTTCTATATGAGTGTTCAATTAGAAATATCTTTACCTCACATAATACGAACACTGAATGTTACACTTGTCACTATTCAATTGCATAAGCATACTGATATTGGTCCATATGAGAAGAGATCAATAAATTTGAATTACATTTTTTTTCCATTAACACTAACCAGCAACTTAATTATTCTGTAGTATTTTCCCCATTATAAGAAAGATTATATTACTTAAGTGAACTGTAGAGGTGGGAATATGACAATGGCTAGAAAAGGGTAATTAAATTCCATTATTCTCTAAATATGAAACATTGTTTTCAATCACAACTTATCTGAAATCTGTCCATATTTAGTAGTTAAACAATAAAAATTATTAAGATTTGCTTAATTTCACATGTACCTCACTTTTCCCTAACCTCTCCCCATCCTCACTTGTTACTTTTGCTATGAAATATGTAATGACAACCCAGTTTTGAAGCCTTGACCATGTTTATGATCATAACTCAGTGACTCCAAAACACTGCTCCTGTTCTTATGTCTTAGATGGGAAGACTCCTCTCTCTGCCTAGCTCTTCTCTCTACCTGCCTAAATCCAAACTTTATTCAATGTTCACTTTTAGTCTCCTTTCTCCAATTGCTGCAGCCTGGACTTACCTGAATTTCTTCAAACTGACAGTACATATACAAATACAATTTGTTCTCCTTTTCTTTAAATTGTCTCCGGAAATCCACTTACTCTTTGCTACCTAGAAATTACCAAGTGTGACTTTTTTTTTAACGAAGTGTGACTTTGCTACCTAGAAATTACTAAGTGTGACACTAACAATTTACTTTCATATATTACTATCAATTTTGCTTTTTGAACTATTTAGCCTCTCATGCAGGGATCACTTATTAACAGGTACAATTTTTTAGTTTAAAATTGTATATACTGTCAGAGAGTAACGGGCTTAAAATTCCTCTAGAACCTCAACATTTCACGCCTCTTACTAAACAAAGTAAAATAACACATTTGGTGAGGATTTTTAAAATGAAATTTTAAAGCAAATTCACCTTAAACCATGCATACAAATTCTGATTATAGCAAATTCCAAGAAATATATAAACTTTAGAGGAATAACAGACTTAAGCTGCATCAGTTATTCTCATTCTCCCATTTCTAACTGCAGCGTGCAGCTATGACTGTGAACTGTTCATTAGCAGCCATTTAATTTATCATTCTCAAAAAAAAAACTGTCGTTTTTATTTAAAAAAAAAACCTTTTACATAATGCATTTGTGCTAACAGATGTCTTCAATCGCCAGTTTCACATCATTTCTCCATATTTTCATGAGTTAGAACGTTAGATATATTTAAACCTAAATTTACTGAATGTTCCATAAAATTAAATGGTAAAATTCAAGGCATGGATAAATTAAATAAATATATATCTGCTTTCTTATAATAATTTATTTTATGTGATATAAAACTACATGGAAGAACAATTATTTAACTCAATCAGCAAACACATACAAAAATAGTCAGCCCAATACAAAATCATCAGCTTTGAAGAGATTTAATTGGATAGAAAATATGTTATAACTTAAAAATCTGAAGAAATTGAATGGTCTATCTTTTCACATACATATTTTAAAAGTAGAAAATTTCACAAGTTAACTTTATCTCATGTGATATGTTTAAAATACTGGCACTTATATTTCCTTTTGTAAGTATTGATATATTTTTGAGATTTATTCTCTTATTCTTGTTCTAAGATGAAAATTTTACAAAATATTACCTCATAAAGTTGATAATCAGAAAAAGATTTGAAAACAATTTTCTATGAATCTTTTAAGTGATATGAATAATGACCTAGTGGAGAGTATTTAACTAGTTGGAGACATACTAGATGATAACAAATTCCTTGCTAGTTCTAATCTAGATTTATGCATAGAATGTATGTTAATGAAGGAAAAAAAGCATAAAAACTACCAGCCTATGATACAGGAATATAAACCACAAGTTTGATAGCTCATATTTCAGAGATAATAGTTAAATAATAGTAAATATTATTAGTTGAATATATTTAATCATATCAAAGTTTTAAAAGTACTCCAAATCTTCTTTCTCAATGCATATGTTAATTTATTAAAATAAAACAGCATATATTGAATATGTATATTTTCAAGGCAGTATCTGAAATTCTGGCAGGATACAGAAAAATGTGTAGGTATCATTATTGAAAATGAAACTGACAGTCTTGGTTTGGGTTATTTTGAAAAAAATGAAAGCCTTTAAATAGCTTAAATTTTAATTTACTATGTCTGTCTGTCTGTCTGTCTGTCTATCTATATCTATCATCTAGCTGTCAATCAAACTAAAATCCACACATGAAATACAGTCTACTAAACTACTGGAAATTTCATGAATTAAATAATTTTTATAATTGTGTTACCAATTATAGTCTTTGTCTAAACATTGGTTTCTTTAGTTTAAATTATCACTGCCTTTCAGAAAAAGGTTGATGGGCTTAGATTTCAAAATGACTTTCATTAACTCAAATATATTACATAAGAAGAATCAGTAACTTTAGGTTTTGAAAGGGTATTTCTTATTTTCTCCCTGATATCTAAAGCAATAGTAATTCACAGAATGACAATTTTCAGGTACAGGATTTTCCATTCAACCGGAAGTGAGTATGTTTCCTAACAGGATAAAAAAGAATTTGCTAGGATTTTTTTCCCCTCCAGGACAAAATAGTATAAAATTAGGGTTTAGCACTCACATATATGTGTGGAAACTTTATGGATACTATTCCTGTGATAATTTATCCAATCAATATGTCACACTGCTTGCGGACATACATGTTTTTGCCTATTTCTTTATATTACCTTCACTTTGCCCACTGATCATTGTCCATATTAATATATTCTATAACTAAATGTCATTGCAATATTTAACCACATCTGTTGCTATATTTTAATAACTTTGAAACATTAATATGACTATCCAAAAAAAGACATTTATTAATTCAATAACCTTATTACATCCCATGTAAATTATTCAAAAACTGATGAAAAGTGGACACTATTATTAACTGGGACATGTTTGTGACTATTTAGATGTAAATATTTGAGAAACCTAATATCATCCTTATATATTTACCATATATGTTTATTTTTCTAACCTTTTAAATTCAAAGAATTTACCATCTTAAATCCAAACCATTAATATTTGTCATACATCTTCTCAATTAAAGTGCATATTATGTAGTATTCACATTAGCAACTGCTTGAATTAATTTTCCTTTGAGTCATGAATTCATTTTTCCCTCTGGACCTCCATGTAGGGATTATATATCAGTTAGATAAAAAGTTATCATAGACCAGGTATTTTTTCAAGGCTAATCATGAAAGATATGGGCAAGTACAGGAGAAAACTGAGAGTAACTGAAGCGATTTCTACTAGAAAATGGAAGCTCTGTTCTGCTTGTTGCACCATTAATTTTTCCCTAAGTCCACAGTGAGACTGGCAGAATCATTTCTCTCACCATAAAGTTTTGGGGGAAGAACATGAGATTATGTCAAAGTACTTTTTTTTTTAACTTTAAGTAATGTCAGTATCATTAAAGCATCTCATTATTGAAATACAACTGTAAATGTGTTCTCAAAAATCTGTTAAGAATTTTATTAACTCATTTAAGTCCTTACTTATAGTTTTCTTACTCTTTAAATAAATTATGTATATAAGTATTATAAAACAGCAGCTTTTAAAAGTCTATTTGGCCAAATTCAAATCAATAGGAGAATAACACACCACTTAAGTATATCATTATTTTCTACTGCTTTAATCCACTTAACACCACGTGTAATAGAAGGAAACTGGGATGAAGACATGGAGGTACATTACTATTAACCTAGAGACCAAGCTGGTTTACACTACCTCAGATACCTTCAACGCATTTAGAGTACCCAAAGGGTAGGAGATGAGGGAGGTACAGAGATGAGATGAGCCTGTTAGAGACAGACACAAGACAGAGCAAAATAAAGAAATATAAAAATGAATGACAAAGTTACATACATGTGTAACAATACATTTATTCATGGGAATAGAAAACATGAAGAAAGAAAGGCTAAATATTTAGAAAATGTTGATTAGGTGAGCTATACTTCAAAAACATGAAAAGTATGCACATAATTAAACTTGGAGAAAAATTAGTATGCCTGAAAATAATGTAATTTAAGAAATAACAAATTTAAACACATCATACAAGAAATATTTTTGCTGTTAAGATTTAGTCTTGCGATTCCAAAACTCAGTAGCAATAATACAATCTCTGAACAGACTCACCAGTTATGTCAACAATGTTATCTTTATCTTCTTTTTTGGAACAATGGAGAATACCTTTATTATATAATGTTTAATTCTGTAATCTACATGAATTTTTTAATGTTTTCTCTCAAGTAATTCTAAGAATTATTATTCTAGCTTTTTTTCTCTTAAGGTAGAACATTATAAGGGATAATTTTTAAACTCTTAGTATCTTACTTATGAGACCATGGTATTTAAAAAATAAGAAAGCATATAAATATCTAAACACACATGAAAACACTGTACATCTAAAAAAGTGAAAAAGTACAGCATTTGTAAAAGCAGCAGTTAGAAAGGTATAAAACTGATTTTCAAAAACCATAAATAAAAATCATTCACAATACATAAGTGTACATTACTTTAAGGGCTGAAATCTATACAGGCCTGAAGAGTCAATGCCTCCCATCCTTTCAAATCTAAATGTTCTCCAGTAACCTATAGTTTTGAAACTAAGTCAGAGACTTTCTGCTCTGCAATTCCTTTTAAGATCCTAAGTAAAAGAGACAATTGGGAAGTATTCAGAACAGGAGGGAGAAAAGATATGGAAAGGAAAAGAAATAGTTAGAATTATTAGTAAAGGAAACAGTGGAATGAAGACACCCTACACCTAAGGAAACTAAGAGTCCTAAGTTATCATTTTAAATATAAAGATTAACACAAGGGTAATAATAATTTAGAATAGATTTGTAATCCAAATGTCTCAAAATACAACTGAGTGTATAAATGATAAATACAAATATTGATACATTATGCTTTCTATATCATTAAAAACAAAAGTCTTATTTTTACTTTTAGAAAGTCCTTCCAGTTTCAAGGAAGTATTTGAACATTCCTGATAAATATTTGAGTACTTTCCACCCATATCTTTTCCAGGGTTCTAATGTTAAAGAAGGCATTATTTTTCTATTATTTTTTGCTGTTGTTTTGCCAAATATAACTGTCACTTTTTATTGAAACATCAGAATCAGACATTTAATTCTCACAGTTTTGATGCTTAATGAAAAGTGAAAGTTAAACACAGCATGGTGGCATTAAAAATGCATGATGAATCCATAGCATCCTGCATCTTAGCCCTTAAGAGAATGTGCAGTACACCAAGAAAAAATACAAAAAAGTAAAGCTAGCATATTTGAAAGTGAGACTGACAAATTATCACAAACCACTAAAAAAGTTATGAACAAAATAGTGCAGACTGAAGGAGAAGGGCAAGAAAATCACTATCTCGTAAATCTAATCTATAAAATGGGGGGAAGATTTCCATTCAATTTTCAGATTGAAATGTCTGAATGTTTAACCCTTGAGACTACTACCAAGGCAGCATGCTCAAGGAACAGTTCAATTAAGGAAGCAGAAACCTTATTCCATATGACTCTTTTAGACATCTCTATATAAGCATCAGCTTGTTTTTGAGGGAATTTCAATTGTTTCACCTCTAAAGGTATGTTGAATGGGGGCTTATTTCTATCCCTGTACTTGGGAAAGAAAATGTGTTCTGTTTTCACAATTCTAGAGAATCCTCACTCTATTTAATTCCCATTCTATAATCTTAAAAGAGTCAGTCTTTTTGCACGAAATACTCTACTGAAGAGATTTTTTAAAAATAATGAGAATATTATTTTTACCCTTTTGGATCTCTTGAAATGCTTTTGTAACTCTCTGTACTACTGCACAAAAAATTAAATTTCTAGTGCATATTTTGAAACAAAATGTCAAATCTATATTTATGGCTATGAATTCTGATTTGTTTGTTTATCTAGAGTTTGTCAGTTTTTAGAGTTTATAAGTAGATTGAGAACCTTAGTAATAAAGGTCTTTCACACTTTTTCTCACTTCTAGACAGGAGATTTATTTCTAAATTGGTGAAGTCTATACATATTTTCAGAATTCTCAACACACATAATTATGCAAAGTGTATAAGGAAGCAAAACAGAGTCACAAGGAGGTGTTATAAGCCTAGGCTTAGAAAACCACTTCTGACAGCATACTCTACAACAATACTTAATTGGATATATGAATCTTATTGGAAATGTTTCCAAGTTTTTATTATCCTAATGTATGCTTTGAAAGGATCTGTATGTGTTCAGATAAAGGCTGATTGTACAGATGGTGACAGAATCACTTCAGAACTACCCATATTCTAGTTTTCTAAAAAACTACACCATTTCCTGAATAAGATAAAAGGCAGGCTCTCAGGGAAACTTTGTATCTATGTGTGGACTTACGATTTAAAGCTATAATTCTCTCACCTCTTCTTATGTTTAAGAAAAGGCTAAAGGGGTAGCAAATAGTGTGTCTAGGTCCACATGATATTGCAATAAATAGTTTATCCAGTAAATTCAGTACCTTCCTCCCTCCAAAAACATTATGCAATAAAATTATTTTATAGTTAATGTTATCCCCAGTGAAATCTGAGATACAAATTATGACTAGTTCATACCCCAAGACCCTTGTACCTTTGAATAAACACTTATCCTTCTTGTAAACATGTATTTTATTGTCTGATCTCCAGTGAAGGTAATGAAATAAAGGCAGAAGTTCTTATAAAATGTGCTTGCATTCATGGAGAGTCAGTTCATGGGACTATTTTAAAAAGGGCTTTAGAATCATGAAGACATAAGTCCATAGTCAAAATTAGTAAATACCTGAATCTGTTTTCTTAATGTCATCATACCAAATAAATACTAGTATTGTATGCATAATAAAAGTACTACTCTTATACTAAACCTCAGAATATAAAAGCTTCATTTTGTCATTTTCAAGTATGACATATTTTAAAGCAAATTGTGATTTGGAATATGAATATATTTTAAATATATGATGTAATACAAAGCAAGTTATAAAATCTCAAAATGTTCAGTGCAAATCTACAAATACAAGTTGATATATACTATAAAGTGCTCATAACACTTTTACTGAGCTTAATATGTGCACAACTACACAGTCTTCTTTATAACAACAATGGCTTACACTTAGTCATTGAAGCGTCGTTAAAAAAATCAAATGAATATTTCAAAAATAAGTTTGCTGTTTAGAACTGGTTCTATGTTCTGAGACAACAGTACATCTAAGCTTCTTCACTGATAGAAGTATTTCTTCTATTTGTGTATATTTGATTCAGTAGTATGAAAACTGGTTAAAAATTCCTAAAGTGGATTCTAGAGAAAATTCACTTTCATGCATTTGCATTTAAGGTATCTCTGAAGTTTTTGAAAATAGGATTGAAATTACACAGGAAAGTCCATGCTGTCAATACACATGCTTTAGTCCATTTGTAGAAATCGGAGTCTTTCTAGTAAAATACTTGAAATTACTTTTCATTAATTTGTAACTTATAAAACTGGGAACTTTTACAGCTGGTGGAAGTTTAACAAATTCATATCATCCTCATGATGACTTCATTTTCCTTCACAAGACTAATGGAAGGGATGGATGATATCAAGAGATTCCTAAGTAACTTCCTTACAATAAATGATGAAGGGTCAAATGGATGCAAGAAAGAACAAAGTATACAGAAAGGATAAAACAGCCAGAAACACTGTTTTTGCTTCGTGGTTGCTAAGCAGTAGTTGTAACAGCTAGAAAGCAAGGTCAGTGTGATCTACGTTGGTGTGCAAAGATAGTAAGTGTGGTGGCTCCAAGGATGCTGTTGATGCAGTAATGCAAGAGCAATAAGCCCATGAGCTGGAAATCAGGCTTAATATATGCAGAAACACAAGTTATGCACAGTTGGCCTTTTCAATTGTACTCTCTAGTGGGATTTGTTGACTATGAGCTAAATATGAAGCCAATATCTTTTTTTCCACAATCACTGAATGGTGATCATGATTCATTTTAAATAAAAGATGGTAAGTCAAAGCACTGCATTTCATTCTCAAGCTATCAGATGAAGACTAGGACCTTCTTTGGGATGCAATTGATGCCTAGTTTATGTTTGCTACATTTGAGTCTATAGCTTCTTATTGATAACTTCTTATTAGTTATAGAATCTATAACTTATTTCCCTTACATTCTTTCATGAGCTTTTCAGGAAAGTTAAATTCTTTATTAGGATTTCTGCAATTTGATGAGATAATAAGACACAATTCTACCACAACAATCTGAATTTCAATAGATCATTTTCAAGTAAGATACATTTTAAAGGATTTAGAAGCACTTTGATATTTCAGACAACTATAGTAAGTAAAAAGAGTACAATAAAGAAACATTTACCATTTTTATCCATAGAATTTGGTTCCGATTGTTTCTTGCCAATATCAGCAAAGGAACGAACAATGGGAATCCTATTGGTGAGTTTTTTCTGATTCTGGTGGTGATGCTGTTTCATCAGTGCCTCATGGACCCTGTGGCGTACATCCTCATTGAGCTGGCCTGAGCTCACCTGTTGGTCGAGGACCATATCTGAAGAGGGAAGGCAGGAAGAAGATGAACACAGCTATCCTGTGGTGTGCCAGTAATGAACCACTGAGTACAAATATGCATAACCTAGATATTATTTATCTTAAAATAGAGGAGTGAATTCCTTTAAAAATCTCCAAGTATGGTCATACAAACAGAAGTTTATTCTTCTTTGTAGAAATGTTGCACAAAAAAGACTTGGGAAATTTTTCATTATACATCATTCATTTTAATGGGGTATTATTTTTCAAATAGTAAAAGTTGTATTGAAAATAAAGTGCTTTATGTTCTCCATTATTCACACTGAAAAGAGGGAGTAGCAGGGGTAATATCAATACAATTAGAATGTTTAAAATTGGTGAATAGTTTCATATTTATATTTTAATAGGATTTTTATCCCCTTTTCCTAGTACAGAATAGCTTCCACATTTCCTCTTTAAGTGAACAGAAATCCATCTGTAAAAATTTGATGCAAAGAGGCTTAGGCAGCTATCTAGTCGGTTGTACTTGGAGAGTAAACAACTCTTTCACACTAATATAAAGTCAGTCCTCTCAAACCTTCCTTGAAAATGTGTTTATATTTAAAAGGTCTTCTATACCATAAAATGAAGAATAAAAAGTGAGATTTCAGAAGGATACAATTAAGCAGATTGATATTTACCATAGGCAAGTGTCAGAAAGGCCTATAAAATAAGCAGATGAGTAAAAACACTTTTAGTTTCTTGGTAATACAAAGATCACCTCAATAACCCTCAATGTGATTAATCTGCTTTCAGATAATTAAATATTTTCTATTTGACTTTTTTGAGGTGCTAACTCCTTATGTAAAGTAGATCACAATGAATTGTCTTCCGCTGCCCTACTGAGTATGCTGAAGATTTGAAAATTAGCAGAATTGCAGAATTCGCCTTTGTTTTAGTCCTGTCTATGCTGAATGAATCACTGACAGCTGGTGTAGACTCATCAAGAACTGCCTTTCACTCTGGAATCACTTCCCTACGTACAATGTTTTCTGTACGGGAGAGATAATAAATATTTTAGGCTTTGTGGGCCATACAATCTCTGTCACAACTACTCACTTCTGTTTTTATAGCATGAAAGCAGCCGTGGACAACAAGTACACAAATGACCATAATTGTGTCTTAATAAAACTTTTTGAATTGAAATTTGAATTTCCTATCATTTTTATGCTGCAAAATATTAATCTTCTTTGTTAATTACATAAAAATGTAATAACGACTCTTAGCTGACATGCATAATAAAATCAGGCAACGGGCCATATTTGCACATAAAGCATAATCTGCCAAACTTTGCTCTACCATTTGGCTGTTTACCACAGGAAGAGTTGAATGCATGTTTGGGAGTCAACCATAATGTCCACTATAATTACCTCCAAAATCTCTTCCAGTTCTGAAAATGGATAATAGTGTAGAATATTTAAATCTATATCTCAGTTTTTTTGAGATCAGTAGTTATAATACCACTGGATTAATTTGAAAGAAAGGAAATGATAAATTGTCAACATACATAACTTTACACTGAAACCTTGTTAATAAGATGGGAAAATGTATATAAAAATGTGCATTTTATACTTCATAATAGGAGTTGTAAAGTAGGTTAAGACACCAAAAGAACGTCGTCATACAGCAATTTCATCTGTAAGTCATGATATGTATCTCCAGTTCAATATTCTAATCAGAATCAAAATTAATCATATAACAAACCAAGCACATGATTATGGTTTTTAATTCTTACCAAAGCACAGTCTTTCCAGGCTTGAGCACTACAAAAAAACCTGTAAGTCACTAGCTTCAAAGTTTTTCAGAGATAAGGTTTTTATTTTAAACAGTTACATAGGAGGAAGTAAATAGAAAAAAAAAACACTCATCTGCTCATTAGTCACAAAGAAATATTCAGTAAAACTGCATCCAAAAATGTGTTAGTGAACTGGACAAGTTAACCATCTTGCATAAGAATATAACTTACACTAAGGTGAAATTTAAGTGCCAAAGGGAGTGTGATTCACTAATCACTTACATTGTTCTCTTCACCCCCATAACGTGTATTAGTGTTAATCTTGAAAAGTAGGAAAAGATAATGGACCATAATGGCTTTGGGCCCCGAGACAAGACTGACGACCACAGCAGCTATGACACCTAAATAATACAGTCTAGCCTGCCAGCGCACATTGCCAGGATCTGGATCATAAGAGAAGCAGCAGGAAGAAAAAGGATAACAGGTCACAGACTTCTAGCACTAAACAGGCTCCAGAAAAAAACTAGTAGCATTTCTGCAAAAAAAAAAAAAAAAGCCTCAGAAATGAAAAAATATTTTTAATCCCAATCAGGTGATTATTTTATCATAATTAATCCATTTTGACTATTGAGTGAAAGTTTCTAGAGACCATAAGATTTTACAGGTTCTGTATTAATCTCTGCCAACTTAAAGATTATCATATAATTGCTTTGTCTTAAAAACCCATTGTCCTAACTTAAAAAATGCTGGGGGAGGAGTAGGGAACAGGCAGGGTCTCAATTTTACAGTCTGTCTGATAACACTAACAAAAGTCTGTGTGAAAAAAATGTAAACTACCGTAAGGATACTTACTTTCCAGACCAAGGATGATAATAGTATCTGTATGTTAAAAAAATACATGGCTATTCCTGTACTCCCAAATCTGCAGTTTACATTCAGTGGAGCAAACTGGATTTTCCATCAATGAAAGATTTTAAACAACGAAAGTTGTTTTAATGAGTTGAGAACTATGACTGATAATTTCTCCATGGTACTAACTTTGGTTTGGTTTTAGTATCTTATACTCATTGACAGAGTTATGTTCAGGTATATAACACTGCAGATAGACTGTTTCCATCATTAGTCTTTACAATCCTGAATTTCAAAGAGATTAACATAAACCATAAAATTGCCTATAATTTACTTGAATATAATTAAGAAGCATTTTTAGTACAATTAATCTTCACAAGAGAATAAATCATGGCAAGAAAACACACTTGGAGAATTTTGGATTTGAAAAGGTTAAGTAATATTTTGAAGAAAGAAGTTTAAATTTATTCTTAGTTCCCTAAAACACTGGGAAATAGACATTTTAAAATTAACTTTATCCAAAAGAAAATCCTAATTTAATTATACCAGAAATTCTTGACAGACCTGCCAGATACAAATGAGATTTTCCCCTGCTAAGTCTACAAAAAAATCTCTTTAAAAGAATTATCTAAGAGTCTATTAAAAACATATCAGAACATTGACATAAAAATCCTTGACCATTCTAAAACAATATCTGGGTCATATTCCTCTACTAGGAAATGTCTGGAAAACATTAATGCCGCAGAGCCTGTGCATTTGCAAAGTACGAGGGTTTAGAGCCCTTAAAGGCAAGCTATTATACCTAGCTTTTGCAAAACAGAAACTAAGGACTGATATGTTAGTAACTGCCTAATGTGTTAAAAAAAATGATAACTACGACGTGAAGAAAAAGTTCTAGATCATTATGGTCCCAAATTATCATGAAATAGAATAAAACAAAATTTATGATTATAGGTTAATCAAAAGAAATTATTCCCAACTCTGCAAGTGTCACCTAAGATATATCACTTTCTGATTATGTTTATAAAATGGAAGAAATAGCCTCCTTCCTACCTCATAAGGCTTCTGTGATAATAAAATATAACAATGGATGTGAAAATACTTTACAAAATTATAAGTCTTGAAAATGTAAAACACATTTATTACACACTCACTAATACAACTCAACTGTCACAAAGTAAAAATAGCAATAAGTAAACAATAAGAAAACAATTTCAAGCTATAGGGAGAAAATGTTTTAGTAAGAGTTTATTGAGGGCAGAAATAAATGATTTTGGATTAAATAAGTCAAATTAAAATTACTCAGAGGAAGGAATCTCTTTTCATTAATGACTGAAACACAATCTAAGGTATTAACAATCAACACGAGTACTTGTAATCATATTTTTCTACATAGTCTTAACTCTAAACTACCGGCCTTTTATGAATGGTATTTTGCAGATTGCTGTACACTAAAAATGGGACATTCGAGCTGGGCTACTTTGGAGGCAGGAAGATACAGACTAATTAGAAGAGAAGAAAGAATACTAAAAAGCTATTTGGGGAATCAAGACTTCCATTGAACTACTTTCATTTGTAAGAATAGACTTAGAAAATGTAATTTGCTTTAAAAGCTAGACTTAACACAGCTAACAACCTTCACATATTCTACAGAGATGAGCTTGGGGAAGAGGGCAGGTTTAGGGAAAGGAAGCATAATTTAGACAACAAAACCAAGCTAAGGTGATAAAATAAACAACAGCGTTTTAATCAAATTATAAAGGGAGAAGATTTCCTCAGAGAAATAAATTCCTAAAGAAAGTATTAGAAATTATATGCTTTAAGAAATTTAACGCCTGGTAAAACCACTGAGGCTAATTTTGCCAGGGTGAGAAATTTGACAGTTCATTACAAATAGTTAATCCAAAACTTATTTGGATTAATACATTTTCAAAGGTAATGCCATCACTGACATAAGTAGCAGAGATAAACTCCTTATTTGGGGCAAGACCTTTAACCTTCTGAGTCTCAGTTTCTTTATTTATGAAGGATAACAAGCTCCAACTTTGTATTAAGTCTCAAAAAGATAGCATAGAATTACTAAAAAGAGCTTCCTCAACTGCAAAGACTATGAAAACCTCGGTCATTTGATTCCTAATTAAAACATAAAAATATTTATTGAGTATCAGCAAGACCCTACAATGTAAAGCTAGGGAATTGAGTTGGATGGCTACTGGTCTAGCATTGTCAGGATGTCTGCTAATTTCTAGGTTAATCATTTTCTTTAAGTCTTGACTTAGCGTGACCTGTTACTGTATCCTGTGTTCTGAAAAATATACTGTTTATAACTTTATACAGTCTTTTAGGCTCTAGTTCTGTATTTTAAAGTGTAATCTCTTTATACATGTTGCATGAAACTTAGTGGAAAAAAGCTTATCTTTCCTGTTTTTTGTTTGTGCTTAATATTGTGAGCCAAATATTTCTCTGTGCTTATTTTTTTTCATACATATTGCAATGAATGTATACCTATCATCACCAATTACCAAATAAATAATTTTAAACTAATCAAGTTTTCTTTAAAATTTGGGCAACATCCATTTCAAACCATCTCTTTCTTCAGAGAGTAGCTGTAGTGTAAGAGAAGAATAGTGTAATAGGAGCTTTCAGAGTCAGAGGCCCTTAAATGGAACTTGAACCATGAAAGTTTCAGAATTTCTATTTTGTTATTGAAAAATGGGAATGACATTTTATGAGGTTATTCTGAAGTTTAAATTAGATATATTATTTTCTCACTTATGTGATCAAAAAACACACAACAGTGTTTTGGATTTTTTTAATCCCATCTCTACAATATAATTAAGACACTGAAGTCTCCCTTAAGTCTTTCTGCTTCACAAATAAATTCCACATGGAGCTGCTTTTATTTTTTTTCCAAACTAGAAATTTTTAAAAACTGTCCAAGGCCTTGCTTTGTTTTTGTTTTTTAAAACCTCCCTTAACTATTTCACTTATACCTTCTCAAAACCCATTTCTGTGTTTTTGTACTATTTTGTTTTTACTAAAATGTGTTTATCTCCCAGATCAAAAGGTATAGAAGTTCTCTGCTTATAATGCTAGAGTAACAGTAAGATGTTTCCCAAATACAACTGCTTGTATAATACCGCCATAGTAGGCTTCTGGTATTAATGATTCATCCCAGAGGTTAGTCATAGTATTCAAATACAACGTATCTCAACTGCATCACTTGGCTTCCTCTAGAATTCAAGAGTTTTAATTCAGTTTAAACTAAATGGCCATTCCTTTCTGTTTTATTCTAGACTAACATTTTTCCTATTTACTGAAATTTTTTCACTTGGTTATTTTATATACTTGAAAATTGAAAAAAAATCAATCTTTAGGTTTATGAATTTTCCTTCAGTTTTCTAATGGTTATCGTCTAATTGCATATGATACTGAAAAACAATATGTGTGCAAAATGGGAGTCAAGATATGCAAGTTCTTGTTCCAGACTGGCAAGTTAGACTGTATTTCTCTGAGATTTGATTTCTTTTATCTTAAACGAGGAGGTAGGATAAAAGTATTTTTTAAGCCTCATACACTGATCATGAGAATTAATTTTCTAAAAGCCTCACATGTATAGAATTATAAGGAGAATAACAAAAATCAGCCACACCCACAAGAGTGAAATAGACTAAGAGAAAAAAAAAAGATATACCTGCAATTTCTTCTAAAGTGTTGGCATGCATGTCCAGCAACACAGTTCCATTCAGGATACAACTTCTCAACTCAAACAAGCTGTGCAGTGAAAGAGTAGCCACATAAGGCTTGCTCCACCTTTCCCCTCCATCTTCCACATCTTCTTCAAACTTCAACCACCTGTACAAATTAACTATTATTATCACACACTGAATTATATTGTAGATGGATGAAACTTTATCCCAATAATGAAAGGTAAAAATAGAAAGTTATTCACATTTTCTCTTGGTTTCAAGGGTTTTGAAAGTAAGTAGAAGCCAGCCCAAGTCACCAAGTTTATTTTATTTTAATTGCACTTAGCAGAGTCTTTTTGTCATTGAAAGCTACATTGAAAACAAAGAAAAACTCATATGCTATTTTTATTATTCTTTCTAGCTTTGAAAAAATATGTTGATATAAATGTTTAACCAGTGGTCACAGTCAATCTGCTGTAGAACTAATAGAGTATACTCCATGGAAAGATAATGGTGACTGAAAAAAATGCAAAAGAAAACAGAATACTCATTTTTGTTTAGCGGGAGGTCTTAAAACAATATTTGAATCTCTTGAAAACTTTGCCGTTTGATTTTTTAGGGAGGCTAGTATAATTTGGGGGCTATTCTGTAGAAAAAATATTTATTAGGCCTGTTTCAGTGAAATTGAGTGACTGCAGTCACTTCCTAAGGACTAAATCAATGAGAACTGAGCTCAGCCCCTACTCCCGGGGTGTTCCTGCCAACGATGGATAACACGAGAACTCCGATATCATGGTACCATTGGGAGACCACCACCTTCTTGGAGCGAACTGAATAGTGTTATCTGGGATTGTTTCTAAGTAAGATAAATGGAAGGAATAAAAAGAAACCAATGATTTTACAGCTCTGGCACTAGCACTAAATCTCTTATTCTTTTAGAGACTTGCTTTCTAATCTTAACAGATGATCAATTTAATTCCATCATTTCTAATGAACTCTAGCATAAATGCCTGTCCTCCCTCCATTCCCCACCATCTCCTCATTTTTTTCTCTCCTTGTCAAGTTTGCCCTCTCTCCAAGCAATGTTACTCAAATTCTCTATATGATATTATATTACTGTTTTGTGTAATCAAATGATTCAACTCCAACAGAGGACAAGTATGTGGTAGTAACTAGTTAGAGAACCAATGGATCAGCCAGCCGAAAAAACTAACCTAAAGGGCTAGTCAGAATGACTAATATGTAGACTTCCAAGAAAGCTAAAGAAAGCTATGGATCTGTCCTCAGTTTTCAGGGAGCAAAAAGCTGTCAGGAGGTGATCACAAAACTAATAGGGAAGAGTAGCTGTACCTGACGAAAGAGAGGAGTGTAAGCTATGCCCATCCTAAGTTTATAGAATGCTTGAAGGTTGAAAAAATTTACATTTAAGCCCAACTCACTGACAGTATCACTTCAATGCTGACAATTTTATGGAGTATCTTTGTCTACATACTTGGGAATTTTTCGTATTAGGGATTCTTAATGCTTTTCAGCCCTGAACAGGACCATAGCATAATACATCATAAATCATGTGATGGTCATTACTATTGTTCATCAACTATAACTAGCTCTCTCTCTCTTCCTAGCAAAGAGTAGGGTACCATTACCAGGCTCTCTTCACTGGCGGAGGCCACTGTTAGCTAGTTCTGGACAACAAATTATGAGTAGAAATTACGTGTGCCATTTCAAGACTGGAGTTTTTCATTGCCAGGATGAGACCCTCTGGAGCTCCCTTCTTTCCTGATGTGGCCACCAGCAATGTTCAAGACATAGGCTGCTCCAGCATCTAGAGTTTCTAAGTAACTACAGTGCAGAGCCACCACTGATTCATGATGGGCAATAAATAAATTTGGGGGATTTTCGGGATTTTAAGCCTTTGAAATTTGGGGGATTTTAAGCCTTTGAAATTACAGGATATTTTTTCTAGCATAACTTAGCCTATCCAAACTGATAAAAAATCACCATTTCAGCAATTCATCACCATCAAATAGCTAACTATAATTAATGGTGAGAATGAATATGATTTTAATAAATATAATAAATTCATATTTCTCACCAGGTATAAAAGTAAGGCCATGGTCACATTATGAATGTTAATATCTCAAAAGATTAACCTCTTGACAGACATTTTGAAACAGGATAGTATCATGAGAAGTGTCTTGGATTAGTTGGGAATAAAAAGAAATCTAGATTTTATCCCAATTCTGCATCTAAATTGCTATGTGACCAAGGGAAATCTTTCAACTTCTCTGGGCCACGGTTTTCTCATCTGTAAAATGATGAGACCAATTCAACACATTAAAAACTTTTCCAGGCAACGTAGGGGTAGGGGATTAAGAGGTACAAACTATAAGCTACAATGATATATTGTACAACATGGGGAATATAGCCAGTATTTTATAATAACTATAAATGGAACATAGCCTTTAAAATTGTCAATCTCTACATCGTACACCTGTGACATAATATTGTACATCAGTTATACTTCAATAAAAAAAAACTTGTCAAAATGACTTAGTCAGTAGCCTTATCAAATCAGATTCAACTCTTAACTGTTCTTATTTTTCTCCAGAGTCTGTGCCCATTTTCCACAAAAATATAATTACCTATGTTGAATTCACGGACTTTTTTTTAGCTCAAATATCTTATACTAAAGCCTATTACAGAAACAACTGATTTAACATTTAATTTTCATCCTTGTCTGGAACAAATCTCAAGCTGAAAAATGTTCTGTGTTCTCGCCCTCTCTTCTTATATTGTCTACAGAAGTGGCACCAAGAGAGTGGGTACAACTTTTATTAAATCTTTTTTCACCTTATATACTACTCACATATGATGTGGTTTTCAGACAAAAAGAACAAAAGAAGGGAGTCTATGTAGCAGCACTCATGCTGGTGTTACTTTGACTGAAGAATATTGTTAGATTTGAAATCTAGTTTCCAGTCTATTGGGTGGTAAAGAAGAACTAGGGTAGTGAAAGGGTGTAATAGTGTTTGGAGGACTATAGAGTTCTCATTTCTGCAGTTATAGTACTTTCTGTCATCTCTCTGTATAGAACTGCTTCTAAAATGTTTAAAGTTTTCACTCAGGAAATCCTGAAATGAGGGTTTGTACATTATTTTGAAATACATTGTTTCTTAATCATTTAAGTATAAATCTACAGACTGATGCATATAATAATACTGTTTGTAAATTGTAGTAACACTAATAATAAATTCAATTCTAAATACCCATAGGCTTCTACTGCAACAAAATTATCCAACCCCTTCTTCTAAGGAAATTTACAATTAAATTTTATTTCCAGGTAACAGTGAAGATAATTAAATAAGCAACAAAGCTTCTACATCACTTTATCTTGGCTCCTTTGAAAGTGAATATTTGAATTTTAAGAATCTTGAGAAGATGTTGGGGGGGTGTGTGTGTGTGTTTGTTTGTGTGTAGTTCTATGCATTTCTATCTCATATATAGATTCAGTAACCACCACATAATCAAGATATAAAACTGTTCCATCAGCACAAAGGAGCTTCCTTTATGTTCTCACTCTCCACCCTGCTTCTGTCCCCTGGCAATAACTAGTCTGTTCGTCGTCACTATAGTTATGTTATTTTGAAGATGTTCTGTAAGTGGAACCATATAGTTTGCAACCTTTTGAGACTGACATTTTCTACTAAGCACAATGCCCTTGAGAGTCATCCAAGTTATTGTATACATCAGTAGTTTGTTCCTTCTTATTGCTAAGAAGTGCTCCATTGGTATGGATATACTAACATTTGTTTAACCATCCACCCACTGAAGGATATTTGGATTGTTTACAAGTTTTTGCTCTCACAAATAAAGCTACTATAACATTCATAAAGTTGTTTGTGTGAACATAAGTTCATTTCTCTAGGACAAATACCCAAGGCTGTGATTGTAGAGTCATATTTACTAAAGCATATTTAGTTTTATAAAAAGCTATCAATCTGTTTTCTAGAGTAGGCCTAGCATTTTAAACCCACACCTGCAATGGATGAGAGATCCAGTGTCTCAATATCCTCACCAGCATAGGCTGTTATGACTATTTATTTAATTTTAGTTATTCTATTAAGTGTGCAGTGATATCTCATAGTGGGTTTAATTCACATTTCCCTAATAGCTAATGCTGTTGAACATTGTTTTACGTGTTTATTTGCCATGTGTATCTCCTCTTTAGTGAAAGGTCTATTTGCGTTTTTGCCCATTTTCTAATTGACTTGTTTGTTTTCAAACTGTTAAACTTTGAGAGTTCTTTACATATTCTAGTATAGTATTTTTGTCAAATATATGTTGTTTGCAAATATTTTCTCCCTGTCTATAGCTTGTCTTCATCCTCTTCACAGGATCTTTGACAGCACCAACATTTTTAATTCTGATGAAGTCTAATTTATTAATATTTTCATTTATGGATCGTACTTTTGGCATCCTGCTTAAAAACTCATCTTCTAAACGGAACTGAAGGAATTATACTCCCTAACTTCAGACTATACTACCATGCTACAGCAATCAAAACACAGTGGTACTGGCACAAAAATAGACATATAGATCAGTGGAACAGGATAGACAACCCAAAAATAAACCCACACACTTATGGTCAAGTAATCTACAACAAAGGAGGCAAAAATATACAATGGAGAAAAGACAGTCTCTTCAATAAGTGGTGCTGGGAAAAATGGACAGCTCCATGGAAAAGAATGAAATAAGAACACTCTCTAACACCATACATAAAAACAAACTCAAAATGGATTAAAGACCTAAATATAAGACCAGATACTATAAAACTCCTAGAGGAAAACATAGT